TAAAATTGTTTCCGATATTTTACATATCATTGTGTTCATTTAACATTAAAATGTTTGCCACTTTTTATCACTCTTTACACAACTAAAGTGCAGACTAACTTTCAGCTTCATCCTCCTCTGAGTGTTCAAAAGTCAAATTATGACCACACTGAATGAGCAAAAAGTTCTCTGACAATATATTTTCCACTTTCTTCGGAAGAAAAAACGGTATACCAGGCAGCTGAACTTTGGAAATCCATGAAACTACAATGGAAACAATTTACAAGCTTTTCATTTGCATAAACATGCAGCCTTGTCAAACAAACATGCTTGACTTTAACCACAAAAAGCCTGAAAACAATGCAACATTTGTGATGGGAAGAGATTTTTCAACATTATAGTAAAAATTCAGAAAAACTCTCCTGTCATAACTTGAATAAACAGATATGCTGAACAGGGAAATTGAAATGCATACAAATCCTGCAGAAAAAAAAACTCACCAAAATGCCTTTGTGACATCGTTTATGCAACTTTAGCAACCAAACTTGTAAGTTTTCACACTCACAATTATGGAGGCTGCTATAGTTTTTTTATTGTAAAAAAAAAAAAAAAAAAAAAAAAACACTAGGTTTTTAAAATGTTTTGAAGAGTAGAAGGACAAAACTAAGGCACATGACACAGGGTATCATTGTGAAAGCTTGCATATTTTGACTCCAATTAATTTTCCAAGGACAAAAGACAGGAGTTTTGCTAGACTCCATAAATTATTACAAAAGACAAGAGAGTGGGACTATCCTCTTAAAGAACAGTTTTTGCTTTGTCTAAATTGTGTGGAGTTCTTTTGCAGAGGTGCTTGGGAAAAATTTAACATTTCATGGTAGGGGGGGCCATCTGCTGGTCATATTAAATAACAGATTTTCCAAAGAGTTTTCATCTTGATCCAAGAATTTATGTTTACTTATATTGTATTTTAATTGTAGGTTAATTATGTGCCAAGCATATTAAATGCATAAGCATGTTTAAAAAAAAAAATCATGTGATTTGTCATTCAATGGTTCAAAAGCAACTTTTGTAACTGTATATTGGATAGTCTGCCTCTAAAGATTTAAAATCGTATTGATGCATCGGAGCGAGAGTGTTTATATTTGTGCAGTAAATGTGTTTCTCAGCTTTCGTTTCTCTCCACCTATTTGTGAACTAAAACAAAGAGGAGGTAACTTAGTGGAAAGTGATGAATAGGTTTGCTGGCACCATCACTCGTACAATGAAGGTGCCAGAGCGGGTGCAGAAATGTTCAAAGTCATTGTTCCCCTGGAGACGGGTCAGCATATTGGTCAAAGCCTGATGCGACTCTACTGTGCTTTATCCTCATGTGCACCCGACCACCTCCACCCAGAGCCAAGCACCGAGGATTATCACATTTATTTTGAGTAAAATCTCCCTCCCAACTGCATCGTATGCACGAACATCTCCTTGATGTTTGCAATGCGTCCTCTGATGTTTACCTGCATAAATAATGTCTTTGGTGCGCCTTTGTAGAAGATGTCATGTGTGTAATGTTATTCTGAACCTGATATCTCGTTAGAGTGATCACGAATCAGGACAGGCCACAAGCACATATGTACATTTACTTTACAGACACTTGACTGGGTAAAAGTGTGTGAAATAATGCAAACAGCCTCCAACTGTTATCGTGTTAAAAAATATTTACTATGTACATTTTAGTGCTTTATCCATATAAAATACAATATTGTATAACTGTAAAACGATTTGTAATGTAATTGAAACAACATTAGACATTGTAATACTTAAAATGCACAAAGATTCGAAGCGTCGGATATTAAAGCATGGTCAAAATGCTTCCCAAGGCGTCAGTGGTATGACGCCTTGGGATGAGAATGGGCTGAAGATTCACACTAAAATTAAGAAAAGTTGACTGGTCTAGTTGATAAGATTTTTTCAGTCGTTACACTAATCTTCGTGAATTCTGTCTCACTTTAAAAGTTGAATGTGAGGAACAGAGAGCACGGGGGTGCGCGCGCTTGCGAAACTGTCAAAGACACGCCGAGCGCCCTGAGAATCCCCACGCAAGGCACACCTTATTAAACACTGCCTGATAGGGTCAATAGCCTGCTCTCCCAACACCACCCTAGAACAATTTCAATTTTAATAGCTTTTACTATGTATTTCACAGGCAAGCCCCCCATTGAAATAGAGCCATCAAAAAGTCCCGCCGACAGATTCAAGCCCGGGAGCTTGGCGTAATTATCCCAGCGGACGCGCGCCTCTGTAAGGTAGTTCAACCTCGTTCATCATCTCCAGCAGGCCCCGGACTCTGCCTGCTAATTTCATCCCCAGGATTAGCTTTGCTCACTTGTCTATCTTGTTATATTTCTTGAGGGTGAAATATCGCCTTCCACTTTTAATAAGGCTGAGCGGGGCCACGCACCGTTGCCTGCGCGCGCCATACGCGCGGAAAAAGGGGCAGAAGGGGAGCAAAACTTTGCCGCGCGCTCTTCTGGGGAGTGACCGGAGAGAAAGAGTGAAGGTGAAAGCGTATGCCTGCGATACCTGCAGGGCAATGCAAGCTGTTTGCTCTCTGAATAGAAAAGAAAAGAGGTGTATAGAGCTCTGGGCCGTGCGCGCTGATACACCCCCAGAGAATGCCCGTGCGCGCCGAAATTAGCAGACGCTCGCGAGGCGGAGCACGAGCGTGACATCTTATTAAACTTGTGGATCAAATCCGCGTATCCTCAGATCATTTGCCATCAGTTTGTCACCTTCACCCTCCACCCCGCGCGCCCTGCGCTTAATTACAATGTATTGTGTTTAAAGGGGCAATTAAAGCCATCACACCAATGGCGTGTTGGACTTTAATTACCCATTGATAATAAGGGTGAATGCTTCTGTGTACTTGTAATAGCTTGTGTCTGGTTTGTACAGTGCACCAATTTACGCTCATTCTTGTTTTGTTTTTTTAGAACGTAAGCTAAAAAAAACTCGTAACTTAGGCTATAAGTCATTAATAAAATCATTATTAGATCATATATAAATCAAAAAGTGTTTAATGCACATTTAACTTGGTTATCGTTGTTATTTTTATTATTATATTATTTATTACTTATTGAAGGTAATTTATTTCCTATATTATTTTTGCTATAATTATGACAAAGCTGCTTATTTATTTATTTGATCTTTATAAGAAACTGTAAAACAATTGTTATTGAGGGGGGAAATAAAGAAATGCGATTTTTCATTTTTATAGGTTTTAGATTATTTGTAATGTAATCATATACTTGTATAAATTATATTGTATTAATATGAATCATTTCAAGTCATCCAGAGGCCTCCTAGGAAATGGGCTCACTGGTTGAGAACCACTGACACTGTTATAAAGTATTACTTTGCATACTCTATTATTCTATTTTGTTGTGGCAATGACCACTTATTACAATAAACTGTGTCTCTGCAGGCAAAAGTTAACTTTAACCTTAAAACAGGCAGACTGTGTTATCAAATATTTGCCTGACAGTCCAGGCCAAAGCTCAAGAAAAAAAAACAAAAAAAAACTATAGACCTAATTACATTCGGATCACAGTGACATGAAGCATTTCAAAACACTGCTAGCTATTATTCTGTTTCTGCTCACCTTGAAATATTCAAGAGCTCACATATCACTCATTCATAGGGCACAAAAATTGAAAAGAGAGATGGCAAAATATAATTAACCTTGTTACAGCCAGGTCAAACAACCGATTTTTATTCGTTGCGTATGACAGCGCTTTGAGGCAATATTTTCCCAGGGAGACTCGTGGCATATGACATAAATTGAGATAAAAATGAAAACAAGAAACCTGAATTAATACTACTGTACTGTATCAAATAAAAAAGCTTCTTGGCACCTGTGAGATACCCTTAAGCAGTTTAGAGGTAAATCGCTATTGAACCAGATCCTTTTAGCTACTGCAGCTTATTGCTTCAGACTTTCATCACAGAGGCCAGCTAACATTTGATACTTCATCATCCACCCATGGCCTCACAGACAGAAGCCACTGAATGCACCTGACATACACACACACACACACACACACTGCTTTACAGACAGACAGACAGAATAGATGAATAGACATACAAATAGACACACAGAAAGATGGATAGACACACAGATAGATGGCTAGACATTAGAGCCAGACCGATATATCGGCAGGCCGATATTAGGCATTTTCCAAACTATCGGTATCGGCAGTTAGAATGGCCGATGAATTAATATTTCAAAAATAAAATAAAAACGGACGAAACAAGCTTGAACCATGTCATGAGTGTTGGAGTTGTATAGTTTGTCCACCAGAGGGCACTCTACACCGTTCCTGTTGGCAACTCGTTGAGTTGGTCAAGATACATACATTGCTTGAATAACAATTAAAAGAACAACCGCATCAGTTCTCTTAACTCAAATAAGCATGACAAAATTTGTGACTATCATGTCCAGTTTTGCTGCTGTTAAATAAGCCGAGAGTGAAGCGGAATTAGCTAGTAATAATTACATTACGTTGATACAGTGTAGTTGACTGACTGTCCTTTAAACTTTTGACAATGTGACTGAAGTATTTCTTTAATAGCACATGACAGTTATAGCAATGAGACGTATCATCTCTCCTTGGCCTGTTATATTGAAAATGTATGTTTTTCACTTTGCAGTATGACGTCATCCATTGCTAAATTATGGCTCATCATAGACTAGCTAACCATAGCTAGCTAATGCCACTATCATCAGTCTGTTCTGTTGTGACAATAAAAGAAACAAGTTTCTTTTTAAAATGCATTATCATATTATTTTAGTTAAAACTCATAAATAACTACAAATAACTAATGTTAGGGGAAAAAAAGTTCCCCTTTTTAAAAAATATCGGCCGATATATTGGAATATCGGATTTTAAAACCAAAAAATATTTGTATCAGATTCAGTATCGCCCTTCAAAATCCTTTATCGGTCAGGCTCTAAGAGACATTCAACTTCATGTATACAACAATTAACACCTTACAGGAACGTTGTAAATGCACAGATTTATTGTGTTGCTTTTAAAGTTGTAAAAATACATCATTTATAATCACTACCAAATCACAAGGTTTGGTAAAATACATTTGCTCATTTGTGGGATCTTTTTTTTTGCTCAATGTTATGGATTTAAATTAATGACCATATTTGAAATAAATGGATGAGCAACAAATTGGTAAGTTTGTGATTAGACCGTGTTATTGAACTGTCTCTCTGGTGGTCCAGACCTGATCCGGTCTAGGCGTTTCCTGCTTAATTAAGACTCAGCCGTCACATTGTTCATTACTTTTGCAACCCTCTTGTGAGTGAATTGCCGGCGTCCGTTAATATTTACAACCTAATACCCGCAACCCCGAGAAGCCACAGCACTCAAATTATATGTCAGATAATTAAAAGAATAATTATGAACGGTCAGCAAGGTATGAGCAATATTTCATAGATGATTGTGTATTTATTTTCTATTTTTCATGGTTTAAATGTATTTTGTATGCAAATAAGTGCAGGGCACTTTTTAATTAAGCGTGAGGGGCATTATGAGTAACTTGATTATAAAATATTGTTGTATCTATCATACATATACTCAAAAACAGGTGGAATTATGGGGAAAAAACTATTTATATATACAATATTTTAAAGTATTGTCCTAATTTTACCAATGTTTAATAATTATTTGTCATCATCATTTATAATGAAGTGAATTGATGACACATGAGTGCAGCCATATGACACATATACATCATCATATATTCTTATATTACACAAATGCAATCCATCTAACAGAAGCTACTGCTAGTACTCAGAGTCGGTACACTCAGCTCCAGCCCCTCTCCCTCCATACTATCCCCCTCTCACATAAAGACGGTCATTAATTGAATCACAATTTTCTTCCCTGCCTCCCACAAAAGGCCATTTGCAACTTCAGGTGTGGAAAGATAATGGGGGATGATATTTCTATCCAACAATGCCAGGGGCAGACTCTGATCATTTTCTCTTCTGAAGGTTAAACTTAGATAACCTGCCTTTGGCATTTAATCAGCTACTTGTTAAATACTCTTTTGGTAATAAAATAATTTAAAGTTTTATTGCTTCTCAAATAAGGCTCTTTTTAAATGGATTTAACGACTTTGTTATGGCTTTGCTGAACGCATCCCTAGTTAGGCTAGTGTGTAAAAGCCCAATGGTAATGATATGCTTTACAGCTTGCAAAATCGCAATGATATTCATTAAAATGACTTTGGTAATCACTGTGTGTAAATTAGAAATACCTGTCCCATCGGCAGACATTTGAAGGGATAGCATCCCACCGTACAGAATTATAAACTATAATTACTATTATACTATAAAAGTCTGCATGGTTTATACATAAGGAATAGACGATCCTTCTCTAATTTAGAGGTATCATTAAAGCATTACTTTGTGATAACTAGCTTTATTAATGTAAGTTAATGTTACATAAATACATTTCAAGTTATATATATTTAACTTTTTATTCATTTTAATAAACGCTGTAAACTTTAGGTACTCTATACCTTTTGGCCCTCTAGTGGTTAAAAAAAAAATTTTTAACTATTGTGAACGCTCCACAATGGGGGGGGGGGGTTAAAGTTTTGCTAGTTTACTAGTTTAGAGTCAGCAACATTTAGTCATTTTAGGTGAAAAAGTCTGTCCTGCAAATGCTTTACAATATTGATGTTGCTCTTGGTTGGGACAACAAATATGATAAAACTTGTTGGAAAGCATCTTTTGCAGCGATTTTTGTGTGAACATATCAGTGAACACCCCAGACCGGTGAGTTTCACGTCTTTATAAACTAAAGTTTAATGCGTTTTAGGAAGGATTGTTCCAGTGCACCTATGCAACCATTATGGAGGTGGGGGGTACAACCACAGAAACCGAAAATTCTCGGTCCAGCAGCATGTGTCCAAATTTAAATCTTAACCAGTCTATTTCATCATAAACGATCTTAAAACAGGGCTTTAAGTTTAAAATACCAAAGTTGTCCTCTAATTAAAAGACATCCACATACATATATGCAGAACATAAAGGTATTTTTTTAAATCAGCTTTCACCTTCCAACATTTCCTTCAGAAGACTTGATTGTCTGCCCTTCAGAGTCCAGATATGGTCGTGCTTCCTGTCCACTGACACCCATATAAATGGCCTTATTATCTCCCGTTGGAATGGGGGACCCTGGTGTGGTCTGGTCCAATGAATCACCAGCAAGCTTTCCTTTTGTTGGCCAGGCTCCAGCTCATGTTTTCTCATCAGGTTCCGGTGCCTGTTAATGACAAAGTAACAATAACTCACCCGGATTAAAAGCCTAAATCTGCAGTTGAGTGGCAGAGTGACCAGCTAATGATGTGCATTTGGGTAAATTGTTGACAGTGCTCTTCACAGAGAGGAAGGGGCTATCTTTATTAATTTACCAAAGCTATGACAACAACGGAAAGAGCAAAGTCAAGCAGATGAAGATGAATACACCGGTTGGGTCCCCGGGAACTTCTGCATTAGTGCATGACAACCTAAAATGCTCTTGTCACCAATGAGCGTCACATTCGCCTGTGGGCACTTAGTGGGGGAATAAGAAGCCGTCAGGATGACAGATTGCCGAAGACCGGGACTTGTGGGGAAAAAATGAGAAATTAACATTTGGTTGAGGCGGCACATGATGGGTGACAGTTATGTGATATGCTCATGTCAATTTAATAATTCTGTCACCGGATGAGTGAAAAAGAGGAAACGTATGAGAGAAGTCATTAACTTCATACAAGTCTCCGTATTCTGTGAATGGTTAAGTCAGATCAGCTCTTCAGAGATTTCAAAAACAACACATTGTTTAGGCCTAGGCCTGTATGTTTCAAATGTCAATGTTTATGGAAGAAATGCAGCCCATGAGGATGGATGCATGAAACTCATTGCTCAGCAGTTCCACAAGTGTGTGATGTAACACATGGGAACATCCTGCTTAATTGGTCAGAATCAAATCATCATTTAAAATAACATTCTAGTAGTTAATTTCTTATAGTGTTTTTGTTGTTTTACACGCTGAGGTTCATTTCAGATGTGATCATATTGAATAGATGTGATAACACCACAAGAAAACTTCTCCAGAAGATTTGACTGAAGTTAAACCAGCAATATAATGATGTATGCATGTACAGTAAAGTGGTATGGGTTATACAATTGGACCCATGTTTAAATAACTGGGAAGATAGTTAGACAAGGACAAAAAAGTCCCTAAACACAATTGGTGCTGTAACTCAATTTGTCCAGCAGATGGCCATAAAGAGTTGAAGGATACACTCATGCTTGTAACGTGTATTTTGTATAAAATTAATTGTCACATGATTAATAAATAAATTAGATATTAATGCACTTGGTCCGTTTATAGTTTGTGTAAAATTCTGGGACCTCTAACTATATATGAGAGGGGAAAAACGGGGGAAAAAAGCCAAAAAGCACAGCACAACAGTTTGATTGTCATTGACTTCGTCCTCACCAGCCCTTAGGAAAATGACAAATTGTTTTACCACAATAAGTAACCAGATTGAGACAATGTATTTGTGAACTGCACTTTTTACTTATGTGATAAAAATCAGCAACTTACCTGGCGTTAAATTACACTTGACAGTTTATTTCCACAAAACCTTTCCCAAGTTCCCGCTCAAGCGGTGGAGTTGGGTGATACCATTTCTACAGGGAATACAGGGGGGCGAAATCATCTCAGGAGAAGAAGAAGAGACAATGGCATTACATAAGGAGGGAGGAGTGTCCGGTTCGCTGTAAGAAAAAAAAGAAGAAGAAAAAAACAAAACAAAACACATCACATGCGGCTAGCGGCATTTTCAGAACAGGCAGGGCTGACCCACCCGACCCGACCGCTCATGCTCAGCGGAGTCGGAGGAATCGCTCATCTCGGAGATATGTACATGAACAGTCTGATCCCATTCAATTTCCCCTGGAATATCTGAGTGCTTTCCCAGTCAATTACGGTAAGTTTGTGTTTGCTTTTAGTGTGCTGCGCTTATTGCATTACCCGATCTATTATAATTATAGGAAATAATGCTGTTGTTGCCATCCATTCTCTGATCCCATTCCCATCACATCTTTAATGAAAACCATCGCTAAATACACTTTAATAGGCTACACTAAATACTAATATATATAAAAGTTTTTTTTTTTAAATAATCTTTTAACTTACAAATAATGTTTCTTATAAGTCTAACTTGTAACTTTTTGATCGGTAAATAAAATAATTTAAAATCAACATCTCATTTATTTAAATTAAATTATTATTCTCGTTGATTTATTATGAAATGCAAAGATAAAACACACTGTTATTATTTGACTATTTAATGAGGTCTAATAATCAACACAAATGTTTTGAAGAGTTAATTGCAAAATGTTGTCATTGATTTGCTGTAGATTTTATTATATGATTCTTCTATGTAAAGCACTTTGAATTGCCATTGTGTATGAAATGTGCTATATAAATAAACTTGCATTGCCTTGCCTAAATGTCAGGATATGTTGACAGTGCAAACTAACCTGTTGCACAGAAGTTTAAATCCCCGTAGAGTGTCACACAGAACATAATGTGATTTATTTCTGACTGCAGGACTCGCTGTAACTTTGTAACATTATTTTACATTAAACATTTTGTATTGCATAATTTTACAACAAAAAGTGTCTAATAAAATTATAAATAACTACTAAAAGAATCATGAATTTATCCTTATCCTATATGAATAGTATGCTTTGTTCATATTGTGAAGAGTGGAATGTGTAAATGTATACTCTGATTTGATGGATTTCCCTCCATTTCCAAAGTAGACAACACAAACAGTTTATCTCTTCTTTTCACTCAAGGACGTTGCCTCTTGCTTTCACAGTGGCTGCGTCCGAAATCACATATTTATTTTGAGTATTCATGAGTATTTATTTTGAATGAGTAACTGTACAGTACAATACTAAAAAAGTACTAATGTATCTGGGCGTTCATTCGCCATGTTGTTATTATCATGTGACCCTACCAGCGTTAGTTATGTCTATTCACTGCCATTCATAAATCCTCTCCTGTGGCCTCATGGGATAAAGTAAAGTGTCCATGAACTGTATGCACACCATAGGAGGCACACAATCATAATCTTGCCAGTAGAAGTAGGTCATCCGGTTATCTACTCTTTTATGAGTACTGTGAATTCGAACATACTTCTTACAAACTGTTTTTCGTCTACTATAAAGTATAGGAAGTATGCTATTTGGAATGCTGCCAGGGAGTCTCCTAAAAAAACAACATTGCTGTAAAAGCACCACCATTTGCTTCACAATACAATATTCAACAGATATATAAAAATGGATGCATTTGCAAATAAATTCACTTGTACTAATAAGAGTGGCAAAAAAACTATATTTCTGAAGGAAAATCTACACTTGCAGTAAGGTTTGAGAAAACAAGTGAGCTTGCATTAGGAAGAATTAATATGTCACATTTGTCACTCCCTCACTTGTGTCTGATCAAGCTGTCATATTGAATTTGACTGATCTTTTAATAATAGTTGTATGGCCATTTTCCCTGATTGATTTGAGTAGATGTAGAATGTCTACATTAGATTTTAATCTACATTTCTATCTACATTTTGCTTCATTGAATACACCATTTTGGTATATTATTTCATTATTATTTTCACTGATAATTCTGATATATGAAGCTTTCTTATACTTGATTGGTAGATTGTTTCAAGATGATGATCCTATTTTAGTTTTACACAAAAGCCAGCTGATCTCGTGTGAAAATGTACTAATGAGGTGGTGATTCTGTATAACTTTATGCAATGGGATTTGTATGATTTTAATGATTTATAATTTTTTTTTAAGTAAGCAAAAAGGTTCACCTCTAACCCCACCCAAAAACCTAACCATCAGTGGTGCATTAGCAGATCGTACGAAACCAGACAAATTAGATTGCACATAATATTCATACGTATTAGCCACCATTTCGCCAAAACTTTAAAATAGTTACAAATTGCTATGAGAGTGTGTTGCAAAAGCCACTTCACAAACACTGGGAGGAAAACTAACTCAGCCCTTTGGATGGAGACAGCCATTCTTCCTTACAATCTCTGTCACAAGAAAACAAAAGCCTTTTCAGTCTGCTAAAGTGCAAACTTTCTGTCAGACTTAAGTAGTAATTGTAGAAATCGGTGTCAGGTGTCGGGTGAAATTGGTCTCAGGTGATTTGAACAAAGGATACTCAGGACTGACCACTTACTTCAGCTGTCAAAAGATGACATATATCTGTTATTAAGACAGTTATAGGAAAGGACAGCTTATTTTTGGTGGGAACAGCTGGTGTTTGGACTGTGTTTAGCAATGTTCAGGGCCAGAAGAGTACTTCTTTGTTGAGTTAGAAGGGCCGATACCATTGTAATGATATATCATTTAGGACAGGTAGTGTGTAAAGATCCTGTGAATGTGACACTCAGTCCATCACTATATGATAATAAGCATCATGCTTTGATACTTGCAAGAAATGCATTTTTATCCAGTAACATATGCTTCTTTCTGATGAAAATGAACAAAATTATTCCCGCAGTATCCCTAAACGCCTTCAGACGGGACAAAAAGACCTGTTTGAATGCAACTGGCCATCCTTGAAATGTGATCTCTTGCAGGGGTCCAGGGGTTAAAGGCTAAAGGTGATGAGAAGAATGAAGCGGTGCTATCTGACTGCCCTTCTCAGCCTCTTTGTGTCCATTGAGCCTCTGGCCGGACCATGCCTGAGCACATCAAAGCACTGGCCAAACATTGTTTGCCAGCCCTGACCTTTGACCTGTTGCTATGCGGCGAGCTTTACGCAGGAGTTTGTGTGTGTGTGTGTGCTGGTAGAGTGAGACGGTGGGCAGAGTCAAAGCAGAAACCTGCTGTGTCGCCCACTCACTGATCAATAATAACGTTCATTGAGTTTCCTCTCTCAGTTGCAGACTCTTCTACTAGTCGTCTGCTCGGTTTTATTGTATGTGAGAAGCATGAATGACCCCTGCCCCCACTTACACATACAACTCCCAAGGCTAAAGTCTTAAAAGCCAACCAACCCCGTCTTCCATCTTCTTTAGAGAAGAAATAAGTAGTGAAAGTAGCACTTTCTTTCTGTTTCAGGCTCTTCAGATGCCAATTTTTAGGGATACGAATAGTTGGTCCAAATGTCTCTAATGTGGTTGGTTTGTGCCTTTGTAAGAACCATGTGTATCTCCTCACCTGAACTGCAATTTTCAATTTTGAGTTTTCTAGCATAGTTAGACTTTGTAACTGTTTGAAGTGAAATATTAGGCTGAAATTCTAAAACAACCCCTAATGGAAAAACTATACACTATATAGCATGCAAAAGTTTAGGGTCAGTGAGATTTTTGTTTTAAATGTTTTTGAAAGAAGTCTCTTATGCTCAACAAGGCTGCATTACAATTTAAACTAACCATTTACTATTTTAATATATTTTAAAACAGTGGTTGGCGAATCAGGGAAAGATACGTCATGACTGATGACACCCAATCATAGAGCCGAGCGTGAGCCTCTGCGTCATCGTTTGTAAACTCCTCCGTTTTGTCTCGTCCACACTAAAACGCCCTCCGGAGATTCAAAACGCGAAACGCAGCTGCAGCGTTTCTAAACTTCTCCGTTTTAAGTCTTCGTTTTTCCCGTTTTAGTGTGGACGGGAGGTGCAAATGTAGCAAAAGGTCTCCGTTTTTAAACGAAAACGCAGTAGTGTGGACGGGGCCTTAGTCATTTAAATGATTTCTGTGATAGCAATGCTGATTTTTTAGCAGCCATTACTCAAGTCTTTAGTGTCACATGAACCTTTAGATATCATTCTAATATGCTGATTTGATGCTTAAGAAACATTTCTTGGTACAATTCAATTCAATTCAATTCAAATGTATTTGTATAGTGTTTTTCACAATATATATTGTTTCAAAGCAGCTTTACAGAAAGTGCATTTCAGAATGCACATGGAAAAATACTATAATAAAAAAATAAATAAAAAAATAAAAAATAATTTAGTTAGTTAGTTATCATGTATTAATTTAGGGCATACCTTATAGGCGTCGAGTCGTCTCTTCACAGGCATTTAGTCGTCTTATTGCAGATGTTGGGGCATCTGAAGTCTCCGTGAGAGGCTGAATACAAACTGGAGCTGACGAACGCCATTTTCCTCAGGACTAGCGTCCTGAGATAACAGAAGAAAAGGAAATGGGAAATAATTAGCATAGCTGCTGTTCATAATATTAATGTATTCGATCTGATTCAACAGAGGAATAAAAGGTAAGCATTATGTGAATGTTTGGACAAAGAGATGGTTCTTTAATCTAGTTTTAAACTGGGACAGCGAGCCTGAGCCTCGAACAATATCAGGAAGGCTATTCCAGAGTTTAGGAGCTAAATGCGAGAACGCCCACCCTCCTTTAGTGGACCTAGATATCCTAGGAATGACCAGAAGCCTCAAATTTAGGGATGTATTGATGTCCAATGGTTGGTTTTCTTGGGTCAGTGACTCTGTGTGTTAAGTGTGAATCAGTTTTAATATAAAATTGAGGGGACAATTGTGCTTTAGCTGTGATATTTTATAATTCTTCAGTATTTGAAGTGCTGTGTAAAGAGTGTCAGAAAGTACTGTAGGTAAGACAGACAGGCTGAGAGAGAGGATTGTCTGAGAAAGAGAAGGCCATAAACAGAGACACAATAGTTGGGTGATGGGAGGGTGAGAGTCTGGGGAAGATGAAAGACCTCGTCACCTCCCTGTAAGGAAGCTCTGAGGACGGGGCTGTTGAACGTTCTCGCTGCTATCACGTCTTGCTCTTTTATCTCCTCGACTATCTGCAGAGCCTGTCTGCATTAGCATTTGTTTATTTAACTGCAATTTCTCCCCCTCAACACAAATACTAAGATGTTGTTGAGGGGCAAAAGCACTCTCCTGACTAGCTGAAAAAGTCCAAAAAGTTTTTGCCCATGAAATCCCAAAGATTCTGGCTTGCAACATTATGGGAGCATGTGAATTTTGGTACTGGTTGATGTTTATATGACATGTTGCTGGTCTTCTTCATTGTTTAGGGTGTTACTGTGTTGTGAATTCCCAGTGTGTGGGGTGTGTGCTGAGAGATGGAACATATGGCAGAGAGCATTTAAAGGCGAGGGGATTATGTCCAAGGGGCTTTTTTTCTGCCTTAGAGCTTTTTTCATTAGTGGCTTGTGTTGCCATTCACACGGTTGGGCAAAATAGATTCATTGGTGTCTAATACCTACATATAAATAAAAGCAGACATTAAAGGAATAGTTCTACAAAATATCAAAAAGTCTTCATTTACTCATCTTCCAAGCCCATAAAAATACAAAAACTGATATTTTGAATACATTTATGGTAGTCCTTTTCCATGTAATTGCCATGAATCAGGACTGATGCTTTCAAGCTTCAAAAAACAATCCAAACACAATAAAAAGTGGTCCATACGACTAATAATAATTTCCAGTGAGTTGTTAACTATTGTGACTGATTCAAGGGAGGGAGTTGAATGTGCAATCCCGGGCCGCGTTTGCCAGAATCATTGTCAATTTGTATTGTGGTCACATTTATCATTGCTTTGTGAAATTTAGTGGATGAAATGCAGTCATTGCAATAAAAAATCAACGCAATCTGAGTTTCACGTGAGGGCTAAAACTTTCCTCACACAGGTCTCACTTGTGTTCAAGTTGGTTAATCAAATTTGTCAAGTTAAACAACTGAAAACTGCTTGGTTTGAAAGTGACTTCTGTGTGATTCTTCATGCATTCGCTACACTATTGACAGTGGACAATGGCCAAAATTTCACTAATGTGAACTTAAAACTTAAGTAGATTGTAGAAATCATTGGCACTAATTGTCTACATGATCTACTTGGCTTTTGAAATACAGCCCAGATCAGTCTGATTTGTGAAGTAGTCTTTCAAACCAGTTTTGTGAACTTATTCATCAAAAAGATCTGACTGAAAATAACAATTTGTTAGTGTTAAACCATAACTTTCAGTCTGTTCCTCACTCAGTGTTCTAATAAAAAGAGTAAATCTACAAAATGCATTATTCATCCTGTGAGCGCAGCCTTTCACAGTTTCCAACTCTGTGTTTTACTGTTCGAGGTAGATCAATCTCCCTCTCTCTCTTGCTCTCTCTCTCTCTGGCAGTCTGGGTCAGGACACCCTGACATTGGCTCATGGTTACTTTATGAGGTTGCAAATTGGACACCCTACAAAAATCCACTATCCATGGGGAAACTGGCTCTCTTCACAGCCTGTTGTAAATGATTTGAGCTCAGTCTTGTTCTGTGCTAATCATATTTCCTGATCATGGAGAGAGGCTGATTGCCTGACGAGTCAATGACATTAAATCAGCTAATATGAGTTTGTGTGCAGTTAAAATCACATGTAACCTCAAATAACCTCTGTGTTACAGTTGTTTGCTTTCTCGCAGAGTTATCAAATTAAATATTTTTTTTTTATTTGCCAGTATGTTGTTTTACAGGGTATAGTACAATACAAGGTTTTTTGGGGGTTTTTTTTACTGGCCCCAATACACAAAATTTTGTTTTTATATGACTTTTTATAATAAATTCCAGGGGAAAAAATCAGAAAAAAATGTATATACAAATTTAAAAATGTTTTTTTTTTCTGATTTTCAGATTATATATATATATATATATATATATATATATATATATATATATATATATATATATATAATTATATATAATATTATTATTTATTTTTATATATTTTTATTTTTTTATAAAGGAATGCATTTTTACAGCAATGATGTCACTATGACGGCTATAAACTTTATTAACCCTTTTAAAGAAAATGATGGCATACATTTTTTTGTTTGTAATTTTTCTGAAGTAGCCATTTAAATTTTTGTAGAACAAATTCTCTCCATTCTATTAAAGGTCATGGGGAATTCGTATACTGGACACCTTCAGAGCACACGGTTTGAGGAAGTGCTGCACAACTCCATAGAGGCGTCACTGCGCTCCAACACAGTGGTGCCCAGACCTGTGTTCTCTCAGCTGTACCTGGAGGCAGAGCAAAGGCCTTCTTCTCATGAAGGTGAGCATTTACTCTGTCTTCTGTGGTATCACACTCATCTCTTTGATGTTTTGAGTACCTTATACTTCTCCTAACCACACATGCGGTGATAAAGCATCAAGTAATAAAAGCTCTTCCATGTTTATTTTAAACCATGTTTATTTAATATCAGTTAGTTAGTTGGTTATTTTATTGTCTCTAAAAAGTTTTTTTCCCAACAGGTCGAATAGATGAGGAAGATGACGAAGAGGATGGCTCAGATTCAAACAGCCCTCCAATCCCATTTCAGATGAAACCTCCACCCGAGGGATCCTGTACTACAGATGGTTAGATCATATAGACCATACGTAACAGAGCAGATCTTTTGTGACTATTTAAGTCAGTACATATATATCCATTCAGACTATTGATGGATGATCAATGATTCCATTCATATGAGTCCCTGTGTCCTAAAAATAAAATGGTGACCAATGGAGTTCTGCATTTCAGGGTTCTGTCAGGCGGGCAAAGACCTTCGACTGTCATCCATGGCCACCGAGTCTTTGGAAGTCCCTCCTGGATTTCTGCTCGTTGGCGCGAAATCTCCCAGTGTGCCTGATCACATTCTGGTGTGTGCAGTGGACCTGCGCTTTCTCCCTGACGAATGTGGACGTAATGCACTTTTAGGTTAGACACACTGAACCTGATGAACCACAATCTTAATACCCTGCATTATAAACAATTGTCAGAGTTTGAAGGAGAGATGGAAAATGGGAAAGCACTGACTTGTTGGGTACCCCCAACCTCGTAGGAGTCGGCAGAACCACATTTTCATTTGACAGAGAGACATTTTTAGGTCTTTAATTTGGGTTTCCATGACACTGGCCCCAAGTGACGGTTTGTGGCTATGGAAACTAGGCACTCGCTGGGTTCTGTCTAGTCTATACTATGTCTCTATTTTAGATGACTGATTTTGGTCCTCAAAGAATGTAGACCGCATCTGTGCGCTCAAAGACATCCACAAAAATGCAGATATTCACCAGATATCTTGTCTGTTATAGGTTTCTCAGGGAACTGCATGGGCTGTGGGGAAAAGGGCTTCCGCTACTTCACTGAGTTTGCCAACCACATCAACCTGAAGCTCACCTCGCAGCCTAAGAAGCAGAAGCACTTAAAGTACCACCTGATCAGAAATGCACAGGGAATTCTGGTCAAGGGACCACCAATCTGCTGGAAAAGAATAGGTATGATTGGACCAAAATGATTGGACGATGAAGGTATCGTTTTCCACTGACATCTTATTTTAGCAGTGTTTAGCATCAGCATGGATTATTGACAACCTGTGATTTGCAGGAGGGTTAACTTGACCCTGTTCAGCATCCTGGGTCACCCTGACCCATTCACCAGTGCTTGCCTTCTTAATCTGACAGTCCAGATGGCCAGCACTTCTAGTTGAGCTCACTGCTACCATGGTGACACATCAACATTGGGACAAAGAGCTTTGGCAGTGTATGCGCATATTCAGAAATTAATTTTTAAAAAGAATGCCTAAATGAGTGTAATGGCCTGTTCACACACAGGACAATAACTAGAATGATTACTACAGCTATCTAATTCTGTGAAAATAGGAAAGTCCACAACACAGCTTCACAGAGGAACAAAGTTGTTGGAATTTTCCAGCTAATGAACAAAAAACGCCAAGGCAGCAAATCAGAATTTATCCGACTTTAAAAAGCTTGAGCATTTAAAGCGGCGGATGACATAACTGCAACACAGGCTTATAACAATCGGCACGCTATTGCGAACTTTGTGTACATTTTCTAAACAAAATGTGAATGGCACAAAAGTTGCTTGGGTTTTCCTATATATTTTTTTTCTCATGTTATGTGCAGACAGCCGAATGAGACAAGCAGTTGGTAATGTAGCTGCTGGACCAGAGGAACAATCAGGACATGGACCCTCTGACCTGCTTCCCAATTTAGCACACACAGCTTTGAACACAATTAACCACACAGGTAGGAAACACAGGGTGTTCAGATAGAACAAGTTTGCATAGACGCAGGGGCGATTCCAGGATTTCAAATTAGGGGGGTTCAGCCTCAGGGAATGATTTAAAAATATATATTGCTTGTATACTAGGGTAGACATGAACAATACAGTAGGTTCTACACTACCTATCAAGTCAATCCCTGAATATTTAATTTTAAA